CAGTTGGTGGTTTTTTTTTTTTTTTGGTAACTAGGACAAATTAAAAGTCTGAGGAAAAAATTAAATACAACACGAAAAGAGTAAAGGCCCATTCAAGTACAACTTCTGGATCTAGAAGTATAAATAGCAACATTAGTAAGAAAAATGTTGACTTTAGAATTAGCAAACTTTTGACTTTGAACTATTTCTCGACTCTGTTCTAATAAAGAACTTTAAGATGAGATGCAGCTTTATGATGAAGATTATTTAAATTTTCGTCGCAAGTTCAGGAGACAATTATAATGGACAGCCTTCAGTACATTATTTATAATGTCATTCTTACGAAGGAGGGATAACCCTTCAAACTCATAGGATATGAGAAACCAACCTAGCAAGTCAAACTTCTCAAAAAGCCCCATAATTAAAGGGAGAAAAAAAACTGTTAAATGCCATATTTTCTATTCACTTTATAACTGTTAATGAGAATTTATGTATAAAGAATCTTTTTATTCTCATTAACATTTACAAACTATAGATAGAAAGCTATATATATATAATTATTATAGATAAAAAGCTGCAATGCTAGTAAAACTGTTCCCTAGTCCTTCTTGGAGCATGTAAAAGTAGCACAGGACATTTTGATGTAAGACTTTGTTGAGGATTTATCCAGGGTCTTATGCCCTAGAACAACATGAATAATGAGTGTTTTGCCTTTTGTCAGAAATGAGTTTGTCAGATTTGGATGGTGTGTTTCACATCCCTTCCCAGACAGCTGAAATATGCAGAGCTGGGAAGGGCCACCCTGGTCCAGATGAAACAAACATTGGAACACTGTAAAGGAAGGGACAGGCAGGATTAAGAAAGTATTATTTAAAAAGTGGTTTAACAAGCTGGAATGTACAAAATGGTGTTTGAAATCACTGTTTTATTTATCTTTAAGTTTCATTATCCCAAGAAATTCTGCAAAATCTCTCGACTGTACTGAAAATATTTTGTGCAAGTTATTAGTTTTATTAAAGGGAATTCACTAAAACACAGTGAATAGCCAAATTTTAAATATCCTTTTTTAAAAAAGTTGGAGTAAAACAGTTATTTTTTAATTGTGTAATTCAGTGGAATAAATTACATTCCTAGTGTTATTAAGTATTTCTGTTCTTTCCAAAACTTTTTCATCATTCCCAACTGAATTTCTCTACCCATTAGACAATTTTTCACTGTTTCATAATCTCTAGTGGTGTCTACCTTCTTGTTTGGCCAAGAATTTTCCTGTACTGCTTGTTGATATTGTGAATTTGTATATGGATTGTCTGTGAATTTGTACTAATTTGTCATACTTGTTGTGGCCAGGAATTGCTCCATAATATCTTATTATTTTATTTTTTGCTTTTTTGGGTCCCACCTGGTGATGCATAGGGGTTACTTCTGGCTATGCACTCAGGAATTACTCCTGACAGTGCTCTGGGGACCATATGGGATGCTGGGAATCGAACCCGGGTCAGCCTCATGCAAAGCAAATGCCTTACCCGCTGTACTATTGCTCTGGCCCTTCTAAGTTTCATCTATGAGGTAACATATATAAAAAATTCATTCCTTCAGGATGAATAAAACTTTTTTTATGTATATACTCCAGTTTGCTTATTTATTCATCTAGTAATGAACACTTGTGCTTTGTATTTATTTGAGTCTCTACTTTTTTATTCTTTTGGAATATGCCAAGACATGCATTGATGGAACATATGTTAATTCTATGTGAGTGTGTTTTAAGTTTTCATACCATTTTTCATAAAGGCTGCAGCATTTTACTTTCTTACCAACAATGCATGAGGGTTTCAGTTTCTCCACTTTCTCACCACTATTATTTTTTGTGGCATCTTGTGGTTTAATTTGTGTTTTCCCAATAACCAGTTATACTAATGATCTTTTCATATGACACTTGCCCACTTATATATATATTCTTTGTAGAAAAATCTGTCAGGTCCTTTCATGTTTTCATTTTTTTTTTGTTTTTAGTTGTTTTTCTTTTTTTATGTTGTTTCTATTAGTCCCTTATTAGACATTATTTGCTATTTGGGCTGCAAGTTGTTTTTTGTTTTTTTTCCCCCCCTATTTCTGTAATAAATGTTTTTAATTCTTGGTCGTATCTTTGAACACATAAGTTTTAAGTTTTGATTATATCCAATTTTTTGGGGGGGTCACACCTGGCGATGCACAGGGGTTACTCCTGGCTCTGCACTCAGGAATTACTCCTAGCGGTGCTCAGGGAACCATGTGGGTTGCTGGCTATCGAACCCGGGTCGGCTGTGTGCAAGACAAACGCCCTACCCGCTGTGCTATTGCTTCAGCCCTCCAATTTATTTTTTGTAGCTGTGCTTCGGTATCATATTCTGGATATTGCAGTCATTCAAAATCTGTCATAAAATTTTTCTGTTATGTTTTCTTCTAAGAGTCTTTTTTGTGTTTTTAGGTCACAGCTGCTGATGTTCAGCGCACACTCCTCACTGTGCTCAGAATTCGTTCTGTGCATACTTTGAGTGACTGTACCAGGTGCTTGGCAGCAAATCCAGTCTGTTTCATGCAAGGCAATTGTCTTCCCACTGTGTTATTGCTCTTGTCCCCTCTTCTAAGAATGTTAAGAGTTGTAGCTCTTTTTAGTCTTACCTGTTTTTTAAATTTACTTATGGTTTAAGGTAAGAGTCCAGCTTTCTAGAATCACTTGTTGAGATAGTGTCTTTTTCTCATTGGTTTATCTGGTATTGGAACTACCATATAGATCCAGTATGGGAGGGTTGGATCTATATAGTAGATCCAACCTGTGTGTGTTTATATGTATGGAGGGTTTATTAATGGACATCTATTCTACTTATTTCGTTTATCTATCTGTTCTCACTCATGTCAACCCTACTGTGTCTTCATTACCATGGCTTTATAACAACTTTTGAAATCAGGAAATTTGAGTTTTCCAACTTTGTTCTTTTCAAGGGTTTTGTGTGTCTGTGTGGGCAGACTACTTGGTGTCCTATATAAATTTTAATAAAGCTGTTAACTATTTCTGTGAGACATGGCAGGGAGTACACTGAATCTAGATTACTTTTAGTAGTATTAAATGCTAGCTATTAAATATTTCATTCTAAGAACACAGGATTTTAAAAAGTTTAAATCTTATTTACATATTCAAAGCAACCTTTTTTTTTGGTTTTCAGCATACAAGTCTTTTGCCTTTTCAGATAAATTTACTCATTATTTTACTACTCTTAGTGCTGTTCTCTTAATTTGCTGCTGGTATATGGAAGCATAGTTGTTTCTGTATCCTCTTGCCTTGCCTAATTTATTAGCTTTGTGTGTGTGTGTGTGTGTGTGTGTGTGTGTGTGTGTGTGTGTTTCCAAGGTAATAGTATATACTTGTCAAACGAATAATTCTAAGTCTTGTTTCATCATTGAATATGGTTTGATGTTTTATTTTTTTACCTAAGTGACTAGAATTCTCTCACCGGAAGGAATCTGTTTAAGAAGGCTTGTGGGATGTACATTCTCAGGCCGAGAAGCAATCTCAGTTAGAAAAATTGATAGCAAAAATGTGATATTTGGGTTTTCCCTGAAAGGAGTATTTAAATGATACTCTTGACACCCAACAGCAGGGAGAACAGTATGTTTTTCCTTATGTCGAATGCCTGTAAGAGTTCCATAGAAGCAGCATGCAGTACTCAGGAAGCCAGGGCAAAGGCAGATCATAGCAGGAGAGAGCTTGAGGGCACAAGGTGGGGGTCACAGAGGACCCGAAGGAAGTGTTCTTTGGACAGAAGGGAGGAGCAGGATTCCACGAACCCTTCTGCAAGTTAGAAAGCTCAATGGAAGGGCTGTTTGGAGAAGGGCATGAGTCTGCGGTGGCTGAGGCAGAGCTATGGCTGTGATAGGTGGGGGGCGGTGGAAAGCCTCATGGTCGTTCCTGGATCTTGCAACAAATGGTTTGGGGTGTGTCAATTCACATTTTCCAGTGAGACAGCATATACCTGTATATGTAAATATATTTGTTTTATGAAGTGGAGTGGACTCATGCGATTGTGGGGCGGAGTCTGAAGCTTGTGGCCCTGCCAGCGGGTTGGAAGGGAGGAGGACAGGTCTCAGAGACATTCACCTCAGAGGCCACCTCTTGTCTATGGGGAGTTAGGCCAAGCACTTTTTGGGGGGCCTGCAAAGCCAAAGAGGTGATCCCTCCAGGTTCTGGCCAAACTGCTGGTTTGGATGCCCTCTTCTAAGTCCATCCTGGCTCTCTGCTTCAGCAGGGAACTTGGGCTGGGCCTTTGCCAGAGTCCACTCTGAAACACACAGAGATGGCTTTGTGGGTACCTGGAATGTGGTTTGTACCACAGTAGGAACAGGGAAAGACTTGCCTCTCTGCTTCCCATTGGAGGCTCCTGTGAAGGCCAGGGTGTGCTTCGTTCAGCTCAGATTCCCTAAAGCTTGTGGAGGAGTAGGGGGAGGGGAGAATCACTCTGTGTATATTCTTTTATTTTCTTTTGCCCGAGAGGGGAGAGCAATTATGAAGTGATCTGCAACAAGAATATTGGATCAATATCAATACATGCTGGCGGTGGTGCCCTTAGGAAGGGTGCCTGCTCTGGGACTGCCTCCCTCCCCCCAAACATACACATACTCACCCCTTGAACACTTCTTTAAAATAGGCTAAATCCATATTCTCCCTAGTGTAATTAAATCTACAGACTGCCGTGAGGAAGAGGAGGTGCGTAGTTTCTGGTAAAAACGTGGCAGAGACATTCAGGGTGTTGATGACAGCAGTCCCACCCCTTTGAGGACCTTTGTTCTACTGACCCCAAGACCACCGAGCTGCTCAGGGTTCCAGAGTTGTTGACTGTCTTTTGTGTTCAGAGGGCAGCGCTGCCTCTGGAGCAGACATTTGAACCAGACTTACAGGGACTCCAAGGGTAACTGGCCGGCTGCCCTTGGACAAGCTTTGTGGTAGATTTTGTTCTAGTTTAGTTTCTTATAGTCTGTCTTTATTCCAGGTGCTGTGGTGCAGTAAATATAATTTGAAGAAGGCAAGAAGGAACCGATGGCTTTAGCTGGTGGCCCAGACTCCTTTTTGCACCATCCGTACTACCAGGTATGGGTGCCTGATTCTGCACAAATGTATTGACCGAGAGTGGGTCATGGCCAGAGGTAGTTAACACCCACCAGTCATCGATTTCTGGCAGGTCACTGGAAAAATGCTTGAGTAGGATTGTGGACAGGTCTTATAGTAGTAAGAACATTGCACAGCCTGTATAGTTTTCTATGTGTTGCTTTGCAGGTCTTATATAATATTGGACAAGTTTTACATTGTATTGTAACACAGACTTACCTTTTGGTGTTGGGGAGTTGTTTGGAATGAACCAGGTCCCCTGTTGCTACTTGCTAGGTCTAGAAGGCAGAGTGGGATGATGGTGAATATGGAAATTTCGATCAGAGATGTGAACTTACATGCAAGAATGTGGGAAGGAAAGGGTTTTGTGAGCATGGAGCCTCTTGGCCTAGTTGTCCCCCTTTGGATTGGGTGTGTTCCCACATCAGTTGCATCAGGTTGGATTCTGTTGGGCAACAGTCTATCCTTGTGCTCTGCTGTTTCATTAGCTCATTCTCATGAATGGCCAGAGAAGTTCTCACTGCAAATTTCCTTCATCATCTGAAGCAGATTTTACAGTGTAGAGAGAAACCTTTGAAGGAGTAGTCATTGGTTCTTGGGATTTAATCTCCTTGTTGACCTTTATCCTTCAAATCACGTGCACCATCTTGCTCCGGGACACCGCCCTTTGCGCTGAATTCTCTCATTTTGAAGTTATTCTGTATTATCTATGCTTGATCTGCTTTTGCTCTCTTCAGAGCTTGTTTTTCCTTCATTAATAACTAAAATGAAGTCTCATTTTTAGTTACCATGATGAGAAATTGCCTGTGGCCTTACGGTTGCAGAAAAATGGCATTAAGTTTTTGTTGTCAAAGTAAAACAAATCTTTAAAGAAAGAATGAAGGTTAATTAGAAATACCATTTATTATGACCATTAATTTTGAAACAAAGCTAACATTCTTAGTAGAATTGTGAAGTTTGCTAGTGAAGTCTGTTTACTGGGTCAGGTGGTTTGCACCTGCCTCTTATGTGTTTATTTTCTTCTGTTTTGTGTTTGTTTTTTGTTGTCCACACCATGGTCGTTCTTCCTGAAAGAAACCTTGGGGACAGAAAGTGGTACTTAGAACCATTAGATGGACTTGGGGACTTGGGTGTGACAGTACGTCAGGAAGTTACTATGAAAAATTTGGCCCCGAAGTGTATGTTTACTTAGAATTGATTCATTACTCCTAGATCAAAACATTCTTATGTATGATTAAAAGATTTTTGTGTGTGAGATTGTCTTGTTATCAGAGAGGTGTGTTTGCCTCTGTCTCTTGAGTGAAGTTCCATGCTCTTTTTTCCTGGTTCTAGGTCCGATTCTGATGTGGCAGCTTAATATTGGTTATTTGCATCTGGCAGGCTTATCTACTGGGACCTGACAGGCTGTAGTTCAAGGCCTACAAGTGAAACCTTCCCCACTGGTGTCATCATGCAGTTGGTTATAGCAAACCTGAAGGTCAAATTTGGCATGAGGGAGAATAATGACACAAAATCTCTTTATGTCCCTTTGTGTCCCACTAATAATGTTTTACTTTTGTTGATCCACAGAAATGGCAGAAGCTTCAGTTAATGGTAGTGTCTAACTCTGGCCAGTCATAATTGCTGCCTGGTTTCCTAAGGCAGTTAATTTGGGAAGGTATATGAATGGGGTGGTTCCCAGCCATCTTGGCCATTTTTGGTGAAACGTACAGTGATACTGCTCAGTTGCTTTGGAAGGTTTTCTCTAAGTTGTGTAAAAATCTAGCTGCTAGACTTGGTAGCATGTCTTCTCCAGAATTTCTCAGAAAATCAATTGATTTATGATAAATTCCAGTCAGGAGCAATGTGCAGTTGTGGCAGTTAGCTAAATCTCTTAAGTTCTTTTTAAAGAAAAAATCTTAAGATCATCTTCATACAAATAACTTTTTATTTAAAAGTTATTCACAAATATTTGTATTTTGTGACTGAATTAGAGGTACCGTAAATTATATGTCGCATTTTATTTTATTTTTAAAGTTGTTCACAGTGATTATTTATTACATTTAATATTCCAACACCAATCCCACCACCATTACACTTTCCTACCATTATATTTCCAATGTTTCCACCCGATCCCCAACCCTTGCCTTCAAAGCAGGACCTAGATAATTTATTTTGTATTGCTTGTTATAAATAATTCACTAAAAATGATCCCAAAAAATTTCCGTAGAAGAAAGTATGGATGTCACATTTTTGATGTACACAGAAGTACCAAAATTATTTTGTGCGTTTAATTATCCCACTCCAGGCTTTAGTGATGGAGGCATCAGGTTGGTGTGTGCTTGGAGTGATGGAGTAAGGAACAAATAATTCACTTTTAGACTTAGGCTGGCTCCTGAAAATATCTGTGGCCTTGGGGAATCAGCCAGCTTTTATGTACCTTGTCTTTCCTGTTGGTGTTGGTGTTGTGTGGTGACTGGATGTATGCAAGTCACCCTTCAGGGTCCCATCCACATCTTGAATGCTTAATCCTTGGTTGTCACCTGTATTCCTCAGGTAGCAGTCACCTAACTGCTGATTGCTTTGTCAGTGCCCAGCTTTGCATATGAAGGACAAATTCAAGGGACCTCTGATTCCTCTGGAGGAGCTCAGTGTGGCAAAAGAGATAATTGTGAATAATGATAATGTTTCTGAAACCAAAAAAAAAAATTGGTAGAAGGGAAAATCCATAGGAGAAATTTTTACCTTATTTCTTTCTGTACCCGGAGCCAACTGGGTGGAGAACTTGATCCTTCTTGGCATGGTGGTGGCAAATGCAGTACAAAGCTTAATGGCACAGACTTGTTCCTTTATCTCTCGCCTGTGACTGCATTCAAGCTGTATCAGCACAGGTAAGTAGTAATGGGAAAGTTGGTGACTTCCTGCTTTATTCCCATTGTCCAGATGGGCCTCCCCATGTCTCTATTTGGACAAGGGCATGAACGGGAGACTTTGCTTGCCTCCATCCTCCATCTTTTGGCTTTGTCAAAAGATGAACTTTAGGGTTATCATTACATATAATCTTGGTTTTCAGGATCAGTCTCAGATTTCTAGACATTTCCAGAGTCTGTTAGTGTTGTTTGGATAGCCAACGAGCATTTCTATGACTATTCTGTTTTCAGTCTTACATGTCTATATTTTGGCAAGGGATCCTATCACTGGATTAACTTTTCTTGCAGAAATTTGTAGATGGTAGCTTTCACTTATTATAGTTAGGCTATGAAAGGATCATTTGAAACATTTTTTTTAATGAGACCAATGAAGCTGATAAGACCTTCATCTGAAAAGAATTGCCACAATTCTGTTGGTTCTCTTCCTCCTTTTCTCCTATCACGGCACAGCTGTTAGAAACTCATCTGTGTCATTGCTCTGCTTCTTCACGAACCACAGATAGGTGAAATTACTTTGTTTTTATTCTTCTTCTGACTTATTTTGCTTGGCCTAATTCCTTTAAATTCTATTCAGATTATCTTAAATGATAAATGTATCTTCTTTCTACAACGGAGCAATATTCCTACTGTCTTTATATTATAGTCATCCATGGGACTTGGAGTGATTCCTTATCTTTGTTATTGTAAATAGTTCCACAGTGAGCATAGAAATGTACGTATCTTTTCAAATTGGTGCTTTTATATTCTTTGGAATGATAACTTACCTTGAGTATAATTGCTACATTCTGAGATAGATCTGCTTTTAAAATTTTTGAGGAATGAACCCTCATGCTGTTTTTGATGAAGGTTGCACAAATTTCCCACCAACAATATACAAAGGTTTTCTTTTTTCTCCTCACAAAAGATATTCTCAGAGGTGTGAGGTGATACTGTGTTGTGGTTTTAATTCACAATTGCCTTATTATGATGGTTTTTTTCTTCATGTACCTGTTGGCCTTCTCTGGCCTTCTTCACTATTTTTCCCTTTGGTTATATTTGGGGAGGGGGGTGAAGGGGTCGGTCAGAGGTTGGGAGGGGAGGGAGTGGTGTGCTTTGGTGGGGGTTGGTGGTGGCGACATCTGTCGGGTTGACTCAACGAGAGAGGATATTTCGTTGCGGGCATCTGACCTGTCCGCACTGGCGGTAGTCGTTGACTGGTGAAGCTTGAGTCTTCCTGTTCAGTGGTGGTGGTCGGCTTCTTTTCCCCGTCACCTGGTTCTGCCATCCTTCCCTTTCCTGGCATCTCATTAGGTGACATTGGCCTTGGGGGGTCGAGCCGGTCATCTCTTCACAGGGTCGCCGCCATCACCCACCCCCTTGCTGCCCGCCTGTTGCCTCGCGTTTTGCAGCTCGAGCTTGCGAGCCTGCAAGCTGCGGTGGCGCGTTGTCATTGTCCGGGCCCTGGGAGACGCAGTGGCCTCCTCAGGGTCTCTCTCTCTCACTCTTTCGGCGGTTTCCGCCCCTCTTGCCCCGTCGCGGCGGGTGGAAGTCGGTCTCCCGTCCTGGCGGACCAGGGCAGTTCGCCGGGCGCTGTGGAGAAGCGGCGAGCCCCCGCGGACCCGGCGCACCACGGAGCAGTTCGCGGACGCTCAGTTTCGGTTTGCCCTGCTTCGGACCACTACGGCAGATTCCCCAACTCGTGTCTGGGAGCCCGAAGAGCGGGGTAGCGGGCCCAGGTCCGGGCAATGGCCCCTTGGCGGAGAAGAGCCTTTGGGGGACGATTGAGAGGGTCCCTTTCGGGGACCGGCTTCCCAGCCGCTGCCCCTCCTCTCCTGCACTGTGCACCGTGGGTAGCAGAGCTCTGCTCTGTGTTCAGCGGGGAGGTTCCGCCTTCATCCCCCGGAGCTGGGGGGTGCTGAGCGAAGTCACTTTGCCGACTGCGGCCCGCCTCCCCGCTTCTGGGAGGGGGAGGGTCCCGGTGTTACGTTGGTAGTTGGGGCTCAGATTGGCCCACGTGTGTGATTGGAGAAACAGGGCATGCGGGTCTGGGATCGTTATGGGCCCACCATGCCCCCCCCCCCCGTAACCGCCCCC